AGTACTCGGAAAGAATTGGAGGCAGAGCCCCTGCCCTGCACTACAGTCGAGATAGCACGCGGGCATTTCCAGTCCTGTGCCCTTGTGGACATCACTGGGAACTAGAAAAATACTTAAAATGGAGCCATACCCAGACCTCAAAACTAGAAAAGTCCTGGCTGCCAGAGTCGACCTGAAGGAGGATCTAGTTGAGAGCCCTTGTGACCACTGCTGCAGGCACAAATCTGGCTGTCTGGACTCAACCCCCATCCCTCTCCCAGCAGTGAGCATGCTCGCTGATTCTGCCACCCAGTCGGTTCTCCCACAGTGCCACTTGAGCCTCTCGTCCCCTTGCCTTCCCCCGATTCAACACCAAGGCATTAGATAGAAAGGACATGGCTGAGAGTTTCAGAGGCTAGCCTGGGACTCTATAAACCCCACAGGGTCACACCCCGCGGGGCCCAACTCGCTGATTTCTGCCTCTTGTCTAAGCAGATCCTTCTGTCAAATGGAGATAGGAATTATAATTCTTGAGAGGTTACCTGTACCCCAGGCTACCCACTTACTCAGTTTGTAGCAGAGGATGATCCCGATCCTCCTGAGCAGTAGTTCAGTGACAGCGATGGGACTTGTGCGGTACACTTGGTGTCTGCTTGTCTGCGTCCCTCAATTAGCTCCTCATTGCGGTGCTGTACACGTACGGATGCACTTTGGAGGATCGTGAGCAGGGGGTGGTGTGGATTTGTTAGTTACCGTCTATGGGGTTTTCTCTGCAGCTGTTTGATCAGGCAAGGAAAAGCAGAGTTTTATGTTTTGTGTTTGGCTGAAATTTCCTGTAAAGTGAGGGATTTTATTCTTGGTTTTTATTTTACTCTTTGACTCTTTCGGAGGCCCACCACTTAACTCCCCAATAAATACATGGAGTCTCATTCTTTCCTATGAATGTCCGTTTAGCTTGGCTTAGTTCTAGCCATCTTAAATTATCTTTTTCCTCCTTCTCTATTCTATATACCTTTCTTTCCTTTTTACCCTGTGGCTTGCTGTGTAGCTCGGTGGCTGCCCCTGATGTCCTCTCCCTTGCTTTTTTTGGCTCCTATTGGCCGTTCAGCTCTTTTTAGACCAGTGAGGTGTTTTAGGTAGGCAAAGTAACACAGCTTCACAGAGTTAAACAAATGCAACATAAAAGAATGCAACACATCTTTGTACCATTAAACAAATATTGCATAGCATAAAAGAATGTAACATATCTTTAATACTCCACAACAGGGTTTGGATGCAAATGTTTGTAATTTTTTTTTCTAGCTTTAAGGTTTTTTTTTTTTTTTTTTTTGAGGTCAGAGCCTCAGTGCATATCATCATCTGGAGACAAAGCAGAGGAATACTACATGGTGTACCTATTTTATGGCAATTGGATACAGTAATTACCATTCAGGAAGCCTAGGCTCAGTAAACACTGTATATATATGTGTGGCACATGCTTGTAATCCTAGCACTGGAGAGGTGGGAGTAGGAGGATAAAAATCTCAAGGTCATCTTTGAGCACACAGAAAATGAAAGGCAAACCCGGGGTATGGGGTAGATGTTTACTTGGGGAGGTTATGGGGCTGGTCTTTGTCCCAGTGTAGTTACAGAAGGCTATAGGATGTACACTAGTGAGAATTCGTTTCTTGTTACAAGTGGCACTGTGTTAAACTGACTAAAACACGGATAGGAAAACCTACAAGACAAAATTTAAAAAAAAAAAGAAACTATTTTTGGTCCAGTTGAAAGGTTTTAGATGTAAATAAATTAGAGATGAATCTTGAGTGGTGATAACTCCAGCAGTTCTTTTGTGACTGAGGATTATTCTGTCCATCCTGGGTCTTTTGTTTCCAGATGACTAAAAGCAACCCGGGGAGGAGTTTATTTCAGTTTACAGTTGTAGTCTATCATGAAGGGAAGTCAGGACAGGATTAAGATTTATTTTAATTTTAATTATGTGTCTGTGTGTCTGTGCAGGCACCTGTGGCAGACGGAGATATTAAATCCCACTGAAGTTAGAATTACAGGTTTTTGTGACTTGTCCCCTCCCTCCACCCCAAACATGGACTTGGGGAACCAAACTTGGGTCCTCTACAAGAGCAGCAAGCATTTGTAACCATCTCTCCAACCCCTTAAATCATCCTCCAAAGGGGTTGCAGCCCACAGGTTGAGAACCACTGCCTTAAATGCTGTTTTGAAAGTAGATTTTCTACTTTGTATTTTAATTTCATTGAAATTGTAGTGATATTTTGTTTGTAATCTAACACATAAAGAGTGCCAGGAGATCAGAGTGCAGAGCTAAGCCACGAGTTAGCCATAGAAGCCAGGCAGTAGTAGCACACACCTTTAATTCTAGCTCTCAGCTGATAGGGGCAGACGGATCTCTGTGAGTTTGACTACCCGAGATTGAATCTGTCTAAAAGAGAAAATGAGCTCAAACAAAGGTAATTTCCAACACTTGGGTTCACACGTCTTTAATTCCCAGAACTAGGGAGGTAGAGAGAGGAGTGATGTGGCTGGGTGAAGAGAGGAATCCATGTAAAAAGCCAGACAGATGTGATTGCTACCTGTAATCCCAGAACTCAGCAAGCAAAGAAAGAGTCCGTGGAACAAGATAGCTTCTTAGACTAGCTGGAATTCAAGAGCTCCAGATTCAGGAGAGACCCTACCTCAATAATTAAAGTAGGAAATGATGAAGGAAGACACTCAATAAATGTGAATGTGCACATAAGTGTACATATCCACGCAAATAACATGTACCCACGCCTGTTTTCCCCCAGCAGTGTATCGGCGATTGAATATGTATCAGTAAAACGAGCATGTCACCTGAGCCGAGCTGGGGACTATTGCTACTGCAGTTTGCAAGAGGCTGGACTCTGGGGTTCCGCCTCTACTAAGGAACAATGGCATCATCTAATGGAGCGTCTGTAGTGCATTAATTAGAAAATTTTAAAGAAAAACATTTAATCATAGACACTAAGCTGTTTTTTTTTCTATGTGTGATAGCATCTGGTGGAATAACTGTAACGTCTTAATTCAGTGAGTGCTGTAATTTGGTGTATTTTTACCCTGTTGGAAATCTCTTCAGTGTGGATTTAAGATTTGAGATTGCTAATATAAAAGGAAAGATGCCTTGCTCGACTGGTTTCAATAGGAGGAAAAACTCAGTAGCACCCTTTCTCAAGTGAGCTCATGTGAAATCCTCTGCGTAAGAAACTCTATAGAGTGCTGGGTAACAGTGAGAAAAAGGGAGGGAATGCCTCAGGCCTCCTCATCCTTGTGCCCAGAGACTGCCCCACTGTAGGGCTGAGGTCCTGAGCCAGTGGTGAGGAGCCAAGACACTTCTGTACAGTCCTGATGCTTGAAAACTGGCGCTCAGCTGCCTTTCTTCTGTGACCTACTCTCCTGAGAATGTACAAGGAGTTTTTGATGCAGTGCCTTTCCACCCAGATATTTTAAACTAATTTGTTTTCTTCCTTAAAAAATGAAAATTGCAGTTTTTGAAATATTGAGACAGTTTTTGGTACAATCTAGGAGTCATGTAATGATAACTGGTATTACTAAGTCTGGAATTCAGTGTGATACGTAACACGCAGTTGTATTTCTCAAGGAGCTGGGGATGTAACTCGGTGATAATGCCTCCCTAACATACAGAAAGCCTGGGGCCATTTCCAGAGCTGTAAAAGCATCTCTGGCTTTATTTTCCCTACTGCATCCTTTTTAACATTAATCACTTTTAATGCCTGATGGGTGGGATTTTTCCTTTGATACTCTAAGCAAGAAAGCAGTTCTGCATTGGAAGCCAGCTGGTAGTCCCCTAATTCAAGTTCTACTGCTCTTTCTTTACTTGGAGATAGAATCAGATCAGTTAATCCCCAAGATAGCCTGTCCCCACAGGTCCCAGTCACAGTTGTTTGTAGCCTGTGTTTCTGACTGGTTGCTCTAAATCGGGGACCCACAACTGTCTTCTCGGGGTCAGTTAATTTGCTTACGTGGCTCACAGAACTCAGGAAAACACATTTACTGGTTTATTATAGAGGGTATTACAAAGGATACAGATGAAAAGATTCGCAGGGCAAGGTCTGGAGGAAAGAGCATAAAGCGCTCCCAGAACTTCCCATGCCCAGCTCTCAACGCTGAGCCCTTTTGCATCTCTAAAGGGACTTCCTTGCCTACCAGATGTTAACAAGATGGGTAGTAAAACCTAGAGAGGTTTGTCTGTGCACATTCCTTCTCTAGATGTGTGCCAAAACTTCTGAAGTGCCTTATTGTCTACCAGACAAGGAAGGCCAGAGAAAGATGGGGAAGATTAGTGTTTCCGTGACCAGCCACAAGAATGGCATGTTTTAGTTTCTGTCACCTGCCCTAGAGAGGCAGGTTCTGAGTGAGAGACCTTACAAAATAGCTAAAATGGATACAGCGTATCATTTTAGTAACATCACAGTGATGATGTAGTTTGGGGGGTGGGGGTTGTAAGTAGAAATACTCTGAATTTCTTTCATGAATATTTATCTTACGATAATTTTCTTTTTTCTATTTCCTTTCTTTTCTTTTTCTTCTTTTCTTTTTTTCCCCCTTTCTGGTTTTTTGAGATAGGATTTCTCTGTGAAGCTTTGGCTGTTCTGGATGGAAGCAGGGTGGTCTCAAACTCACAGAGATCTTCCTGTCTCTGCCTCTCAAGTGCTGGGATTAAAGATGTGTGCCACCAGCGTGGGATTATCATCACCTCTTGTCTGTTTTCCTGAATTGTTATAAACACCTTTTATACCTATAATTTTAGCTATTTGGATAATGTAGGATAAATAAAAAATACTACCACTTTATATTTTAATGGGACTCATATTTTGGGACTCTAAATGTTGTCAACATCGTGACTGTCATAGAAAATAAGCCTAGTTCCAAACTTAAAAGACGTCATTACTGGGTACCATTGTTTAAATGAAAGGTCTCTGGTAACATGGCAATCTTTAAATGACAGTTTGAAATGTTTATTCTTACAGTGATGGAATGGGGGGAAGATATTAAAGCAATTTCTAATGATGAGGCGGTGATGTTGGTGAACCACCAGGCAACTGGAGATGTGTGTACATTGATGATGTGCCTACAAGACAAAGGACCGGTAAGCAGTTTTGGTGCCTCAGGCAGATAGCCTTCAGGGATGGACTTAGAAACATTGATTCAAGTATCTCGTTGTTTAAAACATAGATGTAGATTTAATATGAAAAATATAGTTTTCAGTCACTCCAGGAAGGGAATGTAAAGACTTTAAAAGATAAATAATTAGGATAGTGTCTAGTGTTGATTGATAAACCAGTGTTTGAACTGTTGATTTCACATTACTTATATTGATGATTAAAAATAATCAACAAATTGAGTACATTTAAAATATGGTTGGCCTTTGTCATTCAAAGAATTATTACCTGAGAAGTTAAAGAAATTATGTTTCTAGAAAACCATATATATATATACATATATAATATATATAAAATATATAGACTATAGGTGTTCATATTTGACCCTAAACTAAGTAAACCAAATAATAGATGTCCACTGCTTGCTTAATGGTCCTGATGAATGACTGTAAGAAGTAAATGCTCATTGACAATGGTGGCCACGCCTTTAGTTCAGCTCTCGAGGCAAAGGCAGGTGGATCTCTGTGAGTTTGAGGCCAGATTGGTCTATGGAGCGAATTCCAGGGCAGCCAGGTCTGTGTAGACAGACCCTGTCTCAAAAACAAACAAGAAGTAAAGACTCAATCTTCTTTCCAGGAGCCAGCAACCCATTACCAGGTGGGAGATGAGGTTATAACAGTAACTGCAATTGGATAGCTTGTGTTTGAGAGTGAGCTCGCCATGTACCTGGAGATCACAGGCCACTCTGCAAAGGAGTGAGCACAAACTCTTGGCTTTCAGCGTTAGGTAGAATTTAGTTAGGCCGCCTCTAGTGAAATGGTTTTGGCAATGCCTGAGGTAAGGTAAGAATCAGCATAAGGTTTAAAGAGTTTTGAATCACCAGATAAAGTCAGAAAATGAGATGAAATAAATGAAAATATATTTAGTTATTGCATAATCTTTTTTTCTTATCTGAAAAGCAGGGGTGTAATCTTGCTGGAATGTGAAATAAATTTAATCCTTATAATCAAGAGTCTCAGATTGTTAAAGAGAACCTGCTGCTGTGTGGATGCATTTGTTCTTACAATAAATACATTGTTTGTTTTTTAAATTAATAACATAAAACTGTGTGTTTGGGGTGGTGGAAAGGCAAATATCCAATTAGCCAACATTTTTTAGTCTCGCTGATAATGGTAATTACATATAACAGTTATTTTGAAAGCATGCAATGTGCATAAGTGGCCTTAATTCTCAAAGAATGACTCAAATGATCAGTATAAAATGTGCCCATGTTCCAGTTTTTATTAGTTGAGGACGATAACTGAATATTAACTTAATGTTAGGTAGTCATGTGAACCAAAGGAAGCTTGTTTTGTTTGCTTTTGTAAGATTTGAATTAATTTAAGTTTAATTGCCTGTCCAGAGTAACTTTTTACATTTATTTTATTTGTACATTTATGTGTTTGTGTGGATGTATGTCACATGTGTGTGGGTGCTGGTGGATACCAGAAAAGGGTTTCTGATCCCCGGAAGCTAGTTCCCGAAGAGGGCACTGAGAATCCAAGAGGGTCCCCTGCCAGACAGCAGTACTGCTAACCACTGAGCCATCTCTCCAGCCTCCCCTAGCAATTTTATAATTCTCTGATATTGTCAGATAACTTGAAATCTAGACACATTTTAAAACTAGTTTCATGGGAGATCATTTTCAACTCTTACAGTTTTTAATTTATTTCCTCTTGCTTTATAAGCATGAGTCAATATTAGTTTATATTGACAAGTAGAAATATTTGAGGGCTGGAGAGATGGCTCAGAGGTTAAGAGAAATATTTATTTCATTGATTACTTATCCCATAGTCTCTCAAAGATAGAATTGTAGATCAGTTTAAAAATACCTCTTTGGGGCCGATGAGATAGTTCAGTGGATAAAGACATTTGCTGCCAAACCTGGTGCTTTTGTCAGGATTTCTGTTGCTGTGAAAAGACGCCATGACCACGACAACTCTTATAAAGGAAGACATTAACTGGGCCTCGCTTACAGTTCAGTAAGGTTCATCCATTATTGTCATGGCAGAGGCAAGGCAGCATGCAGGCAAACATGGTGCTGGAGAAGGAGCTGAGAGTAGGAAGTGGTCTCACACTGGGTGTGACTTGAGGATATAAGAGACCTCAAAGCCCACCTCCAATAGTGACACGTCCTCCAACAGGGCCACACCCACTCCAACAAAGCCACACCTCCTAGTAGTGCCACTCCCTACAGGGGCCATTTTCTTTCAAACCACCATAGGTGATAACCTGAGCCCTATCCCCAGGACCCACATGATAAAGGAAAGAACTGACACCTAAAAATTGTCCTCTGACCTCCACACATGTGTGCTTACGTGCGTGTGCACACACAGAGAGAGATAGAGAAGAGGTTGAAGTGAACTGTCTTCTTCACTTACCTCCACTTTACTCTTTGAGACAGGGTCTCTCACTGACCAGCCCCTTCGACCTTATCTGCCCTTCCCCAGCACTGGGGTCATGAGTGCTCTCCACACGTGGCTTTGATGTGAGTGCTGAGACCCTATTCTCTTACACATGTGGGGCTTCTGATGTTTGTGAGCTGTCCAGTCTAGGAAAGGTGGTGGTCGTCTCACTGAAAATTAAGGCAGCACCTGTTGAAATAAGAAGCGGCGGCGGGGCTGCGTCCCCAACACCCTGGCCACTTGGCTAGCTCATGCCCGAAATAACAACACACAAACTGTATTCATTTAAAGACTGCTTGGCCCATGAACTCTAGCCCTTACAGGCTAATTCTCGCACCTGGACTAGCCCATTTCTAATAACGTGTGTAAGCATCCCAAGGTGCGCTTACCGGGAAGAGTCTAGCTTCCGTCCATCCTGGTGTCTCTGCTCCAGAGAGCAGAGCTGATGGTCTCTCTGGGAGCAGAGCAGAGTCTGACCTCACTTCCTCTTCCGCCCAGAATTCTATTCTGTTTATTCCTCCCACCAATGCTTTAACCTATGAGGCCAAGCAGTGTGTTTATTACTTAACCAATGAAATCAACAGATTGATATATGGCACTCCCACATCAAGCACCTATGGACCTTTGTATTGCCTTGACAGGGTTTCTCTGTGTAGCCCTTACTGTCCTGGAACTCACTTTGTAGATGGGCTGACCTCAAATTCACAGAGATCTGCCTCCCTCTGCCTCTCGAGTGCTGGGATTAAAGGTGTGCATCACCACCAGGCCAGTTTTAGTTTGATTTATTTTTAAAGATTTATTTATTTATTATGTATACAGTGTTCTGTCTGTATGTGCTATAGGCCAGATGAGGGCACCAGATCTCATTATAGATGGTTGCGAGCCACCATGTGGGTGCTGGGAACTGAACTCAGGACCTCTGGAAGAGCAGTCAGTGCTCTAAGCCTCTGAGCCATCTCTCAAGCCCTAGTTTGATTTTTTTTTTTATGTGTGCTTATGACTTAGTGTTCTAACACTAGGAATCAGGACCTGTAATTTTTCATATAAACTCTGTTAGTACCTACTGAGTTTGTAGAAATAGCATTAAATTTAAAATATTTCCAACACTAAATGGACTCAGCAGGCTGTGAATATATGTAATAGTAATAATAAAAGAAGAGCTCATGAACTTGAGAGGGAGTAGGGAGGAGTTTGAGGAGTAGAAGTTACATAAATGCATAAGAAATTATCAAAAGAATAAAAAATATTTAGTTACTAATTAAAGTGGATGATTATATTGAAAATATGGAGACTTGGCTACATAGTAGCAAGTTTCTCATTTCCAACACTGAATTAACCATGTCTTGTATTTCAATATTTCAGGTTGTCGCCCAGATGATGTGGCTGATGGATCATATTTTCAAGTACACAAACTTTGGAGTTGTTTCTCTGATTCATGGGGACTTCTTTATAAGGCAGGTGGGTGGCGCACATTGCTCTCTGTGTTGAGACGGTGGACCTGAGTGTCAGCTGTGAAAGAAGACCTCCCTTTGGATGTGTATGATCAGCACCTGCCGCATCCCTGCTTCTCACATGGAAACAAGGACAGTCTCCCTCAGCAGCTGTGGGATGAAGTGAAGTTAACCATGTGCAGCATCCAGAGCAGTGCCTGCTGCTACCCTCATGATCATCTTATCATGAATGCACTGACATTATCTAACTTCTACTATTACCGTTGTTTGCAACGGTACCTGTTGTGTGGTACCAGAGGTAACTCAGTTATCAGGGGAGATTTTGTTTTTTCTTTTTTGGCTTTTTAAGACAAAGAGTTTCTCTGTGTATCCCTGACTGTCCTGGAACTCACTCTGTAGACCAGGCTGGCCTGGAACTCAGTTATCCACGTGCTGCCTCCTGAGTGCTGGCATTAAAGGCGTGGGCCACCACCACCTGACTGGAGATTTTTAATCAGTAAATAAATATAATAATAATAATATGAAATGTTGAAGGAATTCATAGTAAGACAAGTGAGTGCATCAGATTTTTGTAAATTCAGAAACTGTTTGGAGGAGAACATAATTTTTGGCATATGTGTCAGATGAATGGCGGTGGCGTGGGAAGGGGTGTGTAAGCTCCAGGAATGGTCATGCAGGGCGACAGTGACAGTCACAGCCTCTTCCCCGGGCAGCAGTCTTCTCGTCCACGCTAGCATCACACAAATTCCTTCCAAAGCAGGGAAGCATCATGTAAACACGTCTGTGGATAGCAAGGCCGTGGTTCCTCCGTGTTCCTGTACTTAACTCTACTCTGTTATATGATCCTGTGCACATGGTACTTAATACCATGAGTAAAATAAATCCTGTCCTGAGGAACCACAAATTCAGACATAAGCCAGAAGTAAAGTAGAAAGCACAGAAGCAAGCAGCAGAAATCTCAGCAGCCTGTGGAGGGTCCAGAGTCCAGCCAGCTAGTCCCTTCCCGGGGACGTCTAGAAATGACGCGGGTAGAGCAGTGGAGCCCTGGTGTCAGTGGCGAGCCTCAAGCACCAAGTCTAGTTCCCAGTTTGCCCTGGGGAGTAAAAATGAACAGTGTGTCCTCCAAAATCTTTTCCACTTAATGGCGGTCAAAGTTTTGAATCCATAAGGTCTATTTCAGAGTAACTGAAAATTAATTTCTAAAAAAGCAACGTTTTCCCCTCAGAGATTAGCAGTAAAATTCTGTAACATGGGAATGAGTGGTAGAAAATGGTGTTAGTTTAGTGAAATGTGTTGTGCCCGCCTGTAATCCCTGCACTTAGATGGGGGGGGGGGGACACTTCAAGGTCATTCTACCTAGCAGTGGCACCCTCCTCAAAAGAAAGAAAAAAAGTTAATTTTTTTCTTAAATTCTGCTTGGGACTTTGCTACTAGGCTACTTTTAACAAAATCTTCTAAGAATAGTAAAAGTATATATCTATATATGTGTGTGTGTGTGTATGTGCATATATATGTATTATATCTATATAAGTTTTTATATTCATATACAGTACTAGAAAATTTAAAAGCTATCTTAGTCATAATCTTAATTCAATAAGCTAGTTTTAAGAATCTTTGTTTTTTAATTTTTGATATATTTAATCTGAAGGCAGAAAGCTCATTCATTATTGTAGGAACTTTGTAACTATGCCGACTGAACCACACCAAGAGGGAAGAGACTTATGATACTGATTGGAAGTTGGGACCTTCCAGTAGATTTGTTTGGCTGTCCATTTTGAGCCTCCAGGCCATCCTATCTCTTCTCTCAACAACTAAGATCCAGTTCATCTTATCGTCCTGCTGTCTGCTTCCAGGGATTTCCCGCTTCTATATTTTTTTTTTCAAGAATACACTCTATCTAGCCTAACGTGGTCAGCTCCCTAGCTCACCTCCAATGGCCTTTCTTTTATCACAAAGCCAGCAGAACTTGACTGCTGCAGAGTTGGGCTCACCTGTAACATAAGAAAGACAGTGCATCCCTTCCTCAGACTCTCCAGCGATTCTGCATTTAAAGCAGGCTTATTGCTGTGGTGGCTGGAAAGGAAGCTGAGCAGGTAGGAGACCTCATTGCTCTTGCAGAGGACCAGGATCCATCCCAGAACTCATGTCAGACTGCTCACAACCACCTATGACTCCAGTTGCTGGAGATCCAACACTCTCTGGCCTCCCTGAGCATTTGTAGACAAATGGTGTACATAAGCTTGCTCTCTGTCTCTGTCTCTGTCTCTGTCTCTGTCTCTCTCTCTCTCTCTCTCTCTCTCACACACACACACACACACACACACACACACACACACACTCATAAAACAAATCAAAAAGCAGTAAAACCTACCCCTATGCCTGAGGCCCTTTCTTTCTGGTCTTACTACACAGTCTGGTCTGAGACTCATTAGGTAGACTAGGATAGTCTTGATCTCACAAGGAGCCACCTGTCTGCCTACCGATGCGGGGATTAAAGATGTGTGCCCAACACCAGGCCCCAGCATATCAAGCATGTTCCCACCTTGGACCTGTATCTTTTTTGGCTCTTGTCACTTGGAGCATCCTGCCTTCCTTCTTTGTGTGGCTCATTCCCTCATGTTATTTGTTAGTTATTTGCTTACATCAGCTCGCCTCACTCCTCCTGATCTCCTTCTTTCCTTCCTAAAACATATTCCCAGTGGGGTTTGTACTCCACACTTAGCACTTTCCCAAGTGTCTCCTGTGTACTCCCATTTCTGGTGTTGGGACTGTACTTGGCAAATAGTAGACACTTACTGTGTGGCCACCCACCTGCTGAACTGCTCTTTCTCCAGGAAGAAGTTCCTTTGTGTAAGTCCGAGTAGTCAAAAAGAGAAATAATTGGGGGAAACCACTGTTCTGTCCTGTGGTTGAATTTCAGTTTTGAAGCAATTGTTCCTTCTTAATCTCCGTATTTTAACTGCAGCTGTGCCTGTCCTTACTGTGTGTGTCTTCTAGGGAAGATCCTATCGTGACCAACAGCTGCTGGTTCTCAAGAAGCACCTAGAACATAATTACAGGAGCAGGGATCGAAAATGGATTGTTTTGTTTCCTGAAGGGGGCTTCCTCCGGAAGAGGAGAGAAACAAGCCAGGCATTTGCTAAGAAGAATAACTTGCCATTTCTTACACATGTCACTTTGCCAAGGTTTGGGGCAACAAGCATTATCCTGAATGCACTTGTAGCGCAGCAGGAAAATGGAAGTCCAGCGGGAGGAGATGCTAAAGGCCTAGGTAGGAGCCTTAAAATATCTTGTCTTGTTTTAGTGAAGTGCTTTCTAGAGTTCCAATGTTTTTAGTTTTTTGTCTTAGGTTTTTGTTTGCTTGTTTGGGTTGGGGATTTTGAGACAGGGCTTCTTTATGTAGTCTTGAGCTGTCCTGAAACTATGTAGTACACTAGGCTGGTCTCAAATACAGAGATCCACCTGTCTGTCTCTACCTTTTGAGTGCTAGGATTAAAGCCCTGCGCCACTACACCTGACCCAATTCTTAGTTTAAATAACTTTTGACAATTAGAATTAAGTCGGGAGAGGATGAGGTTATTATCTCTTTATTTGTCTCTTTAGTTGGTGTTCACAATAATGCATTAAAATAACTACAACTGCATAGTCAGAGATGTCTGCCTGTGCTGTTACTCAGGGTGACACCGCATAGTCAGAGATGTCTGCCTGTGCTGTTACTACTCAGGGTGACACCGCATAGTCAGAAATGTCTGCCTGTGCTGTTACTCAGGGTGACACCACATAGTCAGAGATGTCTGCCTGTGCTGTTACTCAGGGAGACTTCTACCCCTAATGATGCAAGTTACTTTTTACTTACTAAATCTAGAAGGTTTTGTTTGCTTTAATAGGCAACAAAGTTAGTGTAACTTGTCAGTATTTGAGACCTTTAGGGTATTAATAAACAACTCAGTCACCCTACTACGTAATGATCAAAAGGAAACAACCTAAGTCAGTAACTCCAGCACTCACTGGTGAATCTGAGGAGGAGGATTGCGTTGAGTTCAAGGACAACCTAGGCTACAGTAAATTCTAGGTCAGCCTAGGCTACAAAATGAGGCTTTGTGTCAAAAAGCAATAATCATAATCCAAATATAAGTAATGCAAATTTGTCACAGGCTTATATATAATAAACCAGCCAGAGGGAGAATGGGTAAGCAAATTCCCACATGTCTGTGTAACACAGCCAAGCAGCTGCTGCATATGGAGAGTTTGGGTGCCTGGCAAAGTACTTATGCTGTACAGGGTGTGTATGTGGGAGGGATGCATACAAGTCTTGTGAAAATAATGTGAGCATCAGACAGCAGGAAATGAGGGACAGGAAAGACACCAGAGATTGTCCCATGAGCTGTACAGTGTGGCTCGTTTTCCATACTGTTTTGATAGCCAAGAAAGAGTAAGCAACGCTCAGTGATGTAGCTCCCTGGGCCCGCAAGCTCTGAAGTCTCACGGAGCTGTGCTTGCAATAGCAAGAGCATCTTCTTCAAAAGTGTTTGATAAGCAGCTCAGAGAGACCCACAAGGCCAGTTTCTTCAATAGCATTTTTAAAGTCTTTTGGTATTATTTAAACAAATGTTGAAATGAGTGGCTCTCAGAAATGTCTCAGATTCTGTACAGAGCAGATGTAGAAATAATGCCCAGGACATTGCACTGCATTTTCCCTTTCGTTGGCTTTTTCCAAGCAGCTGCTTGGCAGTCAGCTTTCTTAATCTTTCATCATCTATTAAAAAGGCAAATTGAAAGAGTCTCTTACTAGAAAGGAACGTTCAGAGTAGCTTCCCTGCCGGAGAGACATTGTGGCAGTGTCTTGCAGGCCAGAGCTGGAAGCAAAGGTCTTCCCAACATAATTAGTCCCATTAAAGACTGGTGTTTGCACCGTCCACCCAGGCAGTGCCCAGGGTGGTTCAGCCTCAAAGAAAGGACAATGTGCTGACAGTTGCCTAGGCATGAGAAAAGAGACTTTTCTTTCAGATAGCCTCGATTTCTATTTATAAGAGTTTATTATTTATCCATAGTTAATATATTTAAATTTTAAGTCATCAGAATACCTGAAAAGTATTTTACTGTTTTTTTTTTTTTTTTTTTTTTTTGATATTTGACATTTTCCACTGTTTTCTGTGGTGGTCACATTCATTAGTATTTTATCCTTTGTGAACGTAAACCCTACCTTTGTGTTTAGTGTGTGCACCAGGTACATGTCAGAATTCTTTTCTGCCTGATGGCCTTTAAAAGTATCAGGAAAGGCCGGGGCGGTGGTGGCACACGCCTTTAATCCCAGCACTCGGGAGGCAGAGGCAGGAGGATCTCAGTGAGTTCGAGACCAGCCTGGTCTACAAGAGCTAGTTCCAGGACAGGCTCCAAAACCACAGAGAAACCCTGTCTCGAAAAACCAAAAAGATAAAAAATAAAAAAATAAAAGTATCAGGATCATCTGCTTGTTTATTGATGAGTTGTATGATAACTCACCCTGAGCTGAACTGTCCTGGGCTGTTTATACTTCCTTTCATCATGAAAATTCCTAAACATAAAGTTCAGAGAATCTGTAATGACTGGATGAGCTGCCAACTGTGCTCTGTTTCACCATGTTTGCCGTCTGTCCCCTCTGCCCTTCTCTTTGCCCATTCGTTCATTTGTTTTGATTATTTTATGCTTTGGATTGGTTTGATTTGGTTTGATTTTCGAGGCAAAGTTATGTAACCCCAGCTGACCTTGGAGCTGTCCTGCTGCAATCTCCCGAGTGCTGGGGTGCTGGGATTATTTACAGACGTGTGTCACCATGCTCAGAGAAAAATTGTTCCTCCTTACAAATGATGCCCATTCAGAATGTTGCTCTAAAATCTTTTAAGGTATTTAAAGCTGGTCTTAATTCCTAAGAAGGAAAATTAATATATTATTGACTCCTGATACAATTTAGATTTAGGCCGGAAGGTGGTCTAGAGCCTTCACCTATAGAACAGATAACTATACTTTAAAACACTGAAAGCCAGGGTTCCCTGGGGGGAGTCCTGTTGTCGCTCACTCTTCTATCCATGGATGAGGACTGGTCTAAACAGCACTTTCCCGTCTCCTCCCCAACTGTGGCCACTCATCGTTCCTGCTGAAGTGCTAAAACAAGAACAGTAGCCAATAACAATGTGTGTAGAAACACGTTTAGTTCTATTTCCATTTCCTGTATTTGTTAATGTCCCCTAAGTATTACCGTTATAAATCATGACTTTTGTATACATTTATTGATTTGGCTTTGAAGTTTGCTTTTCATTTTTATGATGTATGTTTTACCTTCTGACCTTCCGTGGGCTGATTTGTGTAGGAGTGATAATATATAATGAAACCTGGCCAGTGCATAATTTACCTAAGATTTGAATGAGGCATGTTTAATAAATAATAGTGCTCTATTATTTGTTTTGAAGTAATCTGCTTTATAGTAAGAGTGCCTTAATTGTATGCTAGGTGCACTGTGAAACAGCAGGAGCAAAGTCCGCCTCTTATCTCAAACCACGTGCATCAGGAAGCTCCAGCTGCTCAGTGAATTCTGTTCTGCAGAGACAGGAAAGCTTGCCCAACTCAAGTCACTTTTTCTTTATCTTCAGAGTGCAAATCAAGAGGCCTCCAGTGGATAATAGATGCAACCATAGCTTATCCCAATGCTGAGCCAATAGACATTCAGACCTGGATCCTTGGATACAGGAAGCCGACAGTCACTCATGTCCATTACAGGTCAGTGCTGTGACTCAGGGTCTACAGAGCTACCCAGGGCACTTGGGTGTTGTATATTAGCCAGATAGTGGAAATATATTTATATAAAAATTATAAGAAATTAAAAATCTTGTGTCGAATCTTAAAATTCATTTAAAGTAGTTATTTTCACTGATGATAAATATTTGTAAAACCCGTGTCCCATGACACTGTGTTTATTGAGTTGCCTGACACTTTTGAGTGACAGTACTGTAAAGAGTTAGCATCAAGGATAAATGGACTCATGGGGCTAAATAGACATATATTAATAGAAATGAAATTTTTCCAAAATCACTAATCTTCACTGTATTCCTGAATGTTCTTGATAACTCAGGTATATTGCATCTATAAATTTTTTAAATTTGTGTGTGTGTGTGCGTGCGTGTGTGTGTGTGTGTGTGTGTGTGTGTGTGTGTGTGCACGCACATGAGTACAGGTGCTGCAAAAGGTCAGAGGTGTATCTGTCAGAAGTTGACTGAGACGGTGGGTGGTATCCTGAGCATAGGAAGCCTCACAGCCCACCCCCAGTGACACACTCCAGCAAAGCCACACCTCCTAATGCTGCCACTCCCTCTGAGTTTATAGGAGCCAAACACATCAGGTATTTTCCATATGGGGGAGGGTTGAGAGTCTCACGGTGTGGCCCTGACTGGACTGGAACTTGCTTTGTAGAGCTGGCTGGCCATAACCTCAGATAACCAACTATCTCTGCCCCTTGAATGCTGGGATTAAAGGCATGCACCACCATGCCAGGCGGTTCCACTTTTAAATCTCTCTAAAGTCTAACAAATAAGAAAGTGTTATTGCTACTCAGTTTTTTTCTTTGTTCTTTGAAGCAGGGTCCCTGGCTAGACTAGAACTCGCTTGGTCGACCAGGCTAGCTTCTAACTCACAGAGACCCACCTGCCTTTGGCTCCTTAGTCCCAAAATTAAATTAAAGGTGTGCATCAGCATACCTGGCAGTATTCAGTATTTTTGTTGTTAGCACATATTAACTATGTATACTAATGGGTTTCATTGTGACATTTGCATGCACATGTATATCTTTTTGTCATATCCCCTTCTGATACCCTCTCTTGTTCTCTCACTTTCCAACTTTTGCCTCTTCTGCTTTCATGTCTCTTTCTATTTCGTTCTTTGTGTGTTTGAACACCTAATGAGTTAGAGGACATAGGGTAAAGGTTCACTTGTAGGAGCAGGGCCACCTTACCAGTTGCTACAGTCCTGAGGAGAATGTCTCTGCCTCCCGTTGATGGTTCCCGGCTGCTCAGCCCCGAAATAATCACACAGAAACTGTTATTTAAATCACTGCTTGATGGGGGCTGGAGAGATGGCTCAGTGGTTAAGAGCATTGCCTGCTCTTCCAAAGGTCCTGAGTTCAATTCCCAGCAACCACATGGTGGCTCACAACCATCAGTAAAGAGGTCTGTCGCCCTCTTCTGGCCTTCAGGCATTCAGACAGAATATTGTATACATAATTAATAAATAAATAAATATTTAAAAAAAATAAATCACTGCTTGGCCCATTAGCCTCAGCCTCAGCCTCCGCCTCCGCTGCCGCCACAGCCGCCGCCGCCTCCTCCTCCTCCTCCTCCTCCTCTTCTTCTTCTTCTTCTTTTTACAGTCCAGGTCTTTTATTTCTTTTTGTACATCAGGCCATGAGTTCATAGGGAATGGGCTCCAGCAGTTCAGGCTCCTTCCTGTTAGTCCTCACGAAGTGTGGTTCTCTGGGTGGAGCAGGCTGGCGCTTCTGTTGAACCCAGGTGCCCTTCTCTTTGGCTTCCCTTTTCTTCTGGTCGTTCTCCTTCACCGGCTTCAGGAAGATGTCTCTGCTCTTCGAGTGCTTGATGTGTTCAATCCACACATTAATTCTCTTGGCAAGAATCTTGCCCTTAACTTGCTTGTTTACAATGATGCCCACCACATGCTGGGTGACATTGTAGACTCTTCCGGTTTTCCCATGGTAACATTTATGGGGCATTCCTTTTTGAACAGTGCCCATTCCCTTGATGTCTACAATATTGCCCTTCTTGTAGATTAGCATGTACGTGGCCAAAGGAACAACTCCATGTTTCCTAAAGGGCCTAGAAAACATATAGAGAGTGCCCCTCCTCTTTCCCTTTGTGTTTGTCATTTTGGCGAGTTACTGAAAGATGGCTACCGCGGCCGAAAGGTAGCTCTAGCTTCTTATTGGCTAACTCTTACATTTTAATTTAACCCATCTCCATTAATCTGTGCATCACCACGAGGTCATGACCTACCAGCTAAAGTTCCGGCATCTGTCTCTGTTGGGGCTACATGGCTTCTCTCTCTCTCCTCTCTTCTTTCTCCCAGCATTCAGTTTAGTTTTACCCACCTGACTAAGTTCTGCCCTGCTATAGGTCCAAAGCAGTTTCTTTATTCATTAATGGTAATCACAGCATACAGAGGGGACTCCCACATCAGCCTCCCTTTCAACCCTTGACTGTGTATAAATCTTCAAGGAGAGGAGGACCTTATGAGCTTAATTTAGTATTATTGAAGAGATCATGCCTGAAATATAAAAAGCCTTAAGGCATATATTTAGTTGATTATTGGTTGAGCATAGCTCTCATTGAAGATTATTGTTTAATCTGAGCCAGCATGAACACAGGGCCTATAATTTCAGCACTTGGGAGATAGAGGCAGAAGGACCAGGAATTCAAGACTAGTCTGCGCTACATAGTCAGTTCTAGGCCAGCCTGTGCTAATGAGTGAGAACTTCTCTATAAAAAACAAGCAAACAACAGTTATGAGATACTGTCTTCAAAACATGAAGATGTGTTTTATGCATCTAAGTGTTTTGACTGCATGTATGTGTACCATGTGTGTGCCTGGAGCGTATGGAAGTCAGAAGAGGGTGGTGCTCTAGAGCTGGAGTTATGGATGATTGTGAGCCACCATGTGCTACCCAGGACTTTGGTCTAAATTTTTATTTTAACTTACCCTCAGCAATTGAGGAAAAACTAAACTGTAATATCAGAAAAGATAGCTGTCTATATATAGCACTCATCAAGTTTTTCACTGACATATTATTGTCAGTTCAACTTAGCACTGCACACTGTACTCTATGTTACAACACAGTTGGAGGAAGACACACACAATAGATAGACTGCACACTGTATTCTATGTTACAACGCAGTTGGAGAAAGACACACACAATAGATAGACTGTAAACCAGTAAGCGTGCTCATAGACGGTATAGAGGAGAAGAGGAACGGGAATTAGATGGCCAGGTCCTTATCCTCAAGGGAAGCAGAGTCATCTGGAAATGACAGTTTTCACAGACTTATAAATAATATCCAAGTGACTGTGAAAGAAACGGTTGGATAGATTATATCCGAAAGCAAGGGTCTGGGGAGGGAAGGGATGGGAATTTGTTGTTGTTGTCTGCCTGAATAATTGCTTTAACTTTTGAAAACTAAGCTTATGTTACTTAGGCAAAACATTTCTTTTTTCGAGAAAAGGTTTCTCTGTGTAACAGCCCTGGCTGTCCTGGAACTCGCTCTGTAGACCAGGCTGGCCTCAAACTCAAAGAGGTCCACCTGCCTCTGCCTCCTAAGTGCTGGGATTAAAGGTGTGCAGCACCACCGCTGACAAAACATTTTTTAAAGTTCTGAATCTTATTCTTGTAGACAGTACTCAGGCTGTAGCCTTTCCATGTCCTTTTCCATGAGCAAATGCCAATTCCCTCATACAAACTCAGCCACCGCTCTTCAAAGTGAAATGCTTGTTCATTTGGCTGGCTTGTTTTCCTCATCCCTCTGCTAAATAATTAGCTTCATAAAGTGAGGAGGGGCTGTTTATCTCCAGACCTCTCTCCAAGGTTAGTTTCTTCCATGTATTTTACATAACTGAACAAGGAGCAAATTGTATGATTTGTTGGCTCATGTTTTACAGTCTTCGTGGCTTAAAAATTCTTATGTACTAACTCGGATGTAGAGTGCCATCTGCTAAGCCAAGCATTGTGTTTTTAAAGTATAATTTCTAAGTACTCTAAGAGAGGATTTCATGGGTTAGGGGGAAATACATTTTACTTAGAAATATTCTAGGTTACTGATAATAAGAATTTTTATTGCTTTAAAATGAGGCTCTTGTTTCCCATTTGGGTCGCTATTGGAGCTTATATCCCATAGGTCTGAGAGCTCCCAAGCACTGTTTGTCTCGGGAGAACTGGGACTCAGTGCATTTGATCCCTTGCCGTATTAGAGGATTACTCATTTTAATATTTTAATCCCATGGTAACCTAACAACCACAGTAAAGAAGTAGACTGCTCTTGAGAGTGGGTATTTGGTCTGCCTTCTGGCTGTGGCTGTATTGGAGTCAAGAGAATGTCCAGGCAGCTCTGGGCAGATGGTGGGATAAAGTCTCAGACCTACACTGCCTCCATGCTGCTCCCCATTTAAAGTGACAGAAAACCCAAGAGACACACTACTCTCTCAAGAATTTATTTGTTAAACCCAAATCTTGCTGTTTAATCCAGTCTTATATTTAATGTTTGCTTTCTTCACATACAGATATAAAACCACTTAAGATCTTCTTTGACCTTATGGCTCCTGCTAAATCATCCTTAAGTTAATTAGACCTGGTTTAAATTAACAAAAATTAAGTTGATCTTATATAGTACATACCGCAGTGTTAGCTGGTGTGAGTCAACAGTTTTTTTAATCTCTTTTCCAAGGAATACTTATTTTGTGATAATCACTGGACGTGTGGCCATCTTAGAACAGAAGACACTTCGTAATTAATTTGTCTGGATCTTAAGGACAGTGGGTAGTTTAGATAGGGAGAGATGGAAGAGTGGGAGTGGGCATGCTGAGTAATAGTGACTGAAATAGAGCACACAGAGCCCACATTAAATAACCCTTAACAGAACTCGAAGGGAAGTTGTAGGAAATGGAATTGGAAAGTTGAAATAAGATATTGGTGTACCCAGAGCTGCCTGGATATTCTCATGGCTAGAACACAGCAGGAGGGCAGACCAGATGCCAGCTCTCAAGAACAGTCTGCTTCTTTACTCTGGTTGTTAGTTTTCATGATATTAAAATTACTAATTTCCCTTCTGTTGCTGTGATAAAGCATTTGAAGAGGTCATATTCCATTCTTGAGGGAAGTCAGGGCAGGACCCATGGCAGGAACCTCTCCCATGCAGCATTGCCTCCAACCAAGGGATAAACTCTTAGCCCAGGCAGCTGACTTTCTTAGACATTCCAGGTCTCACTGCCTGAGGGATGCTGCTGCCCACCATGTGTATCCTTCTCCCCACAGTATCCATCATCAATTGAGACAATCCTTCACAGTCATGCCTACAGGCTAGGCTGATCTAGGTAGTTCCTCAGTTGAGGCTCCCTCTTCCCAGGTGACTATGTTGTGTCAGGTCGACAATGAATATTAATAACACCTGTACCTAAAAATCAGGCCAAATGTATCTCTTAAGTAAAGCCAGGTTCAAACAGAATTATCTTCAAATAATGGTAGAGTTGGCTCACAAAACTCTCATCCAAATAGAGCAATTTTGCAATGTGGTTGACCACACAGCTCAGGTTTCCTGCATCAGTGCTGCTCTTATTCACATATTGGTCTCATCCTTACCAGCTGGCCCAGAAATCCAAGCTCTTGTACTTCTGTGAAAGATAAGTGACAGAGCAGGAAGACGCTCTTTGGCCATACGATGACTTTGATTTGTAGGCAGAGGCTGTGTTTCATTTCCTGGCCACTGACCCAAATAATCACACAAACTATATTAATTACAACACTGTCTGGCCTATCAGCTCAGGCTTCTTATTAACTAACTCTTACAGCTTAAATGAACAGATTTCTTTTTTTTTTTTTTTTTTATTTATACCAGATCTCATTATGGGCGGTTGTGAGCCACCATGTGGTTGCTGGGAATTGAACTCAGGACCTCTGGAAGAGCAGTCAATGCTCTTAACCACTGAGCCATCTCTCCAGCCCAAATTAACAGATTTCTATTATTCTGTGTATCAGCATGAGGCTGTGGCTTACTGGTGAGGGTCCAGCATCTGTCTCCTTCAGCAACTACATGGCATCTCTTTGACTCCACCTACTCTCTCTATATATATATTTCTATTTAGATTCCCCACTTGGCTTTATTCTGCCCTGCCATAGGCCCTAGCAACTTCTTTATTAACCAATAAAAGCAACACATATACAGAAGGACACCCCACATCATCTCCCCTTTTCTAAGTAAAAAAGATGATTTTAACTTTAACATAGTAAAATTACATATAACAAAACATATCAAGCGAGAATTACATTTACACTATTTAGTCTATTTGTATTCGGAAAGTTTTATATCTAATTTATCCTTTATCATAACTAAGGAAAACTATAACTATCTGTCTTTAACCCTTTAGAGATTCCAGAAGGATATAACATTACCTAAGTAAACAGGAAGTTCATTGTAAGCAACTTTTAAAATTCTAGAATTGGCAGAGACATCTTGCTGCCTGGACAGTCATTCGAAGTTTTTTTGTAACACTGGGGCATCCATCTTCAGCCTACAGACTCATAGTATCTGGAAGACTTTTCCATGAAGCAAGGAATGTGAAGATTTTTTGCTTTATAATGGCAAAGTTCATCAGTTGCTTTCTTTTGTGTCCTGCAAAATGTCTGGCAGGTTTGTTTTTGTCTTTTGTGACGCATGAACCCTAAAGGATTGTCACACCTTCTTTAGGCAAGTCTGTGGGTCCTGCATGTCCAGTTTATACAGCATACCATCAAGCAGTCCAGGCAAGAGCAGTTTTTTTGCTCAAATGGCTAACAAAGTCCATAAGGAGCCTCTTCGATGCCTATCATCATCTTGAAGTAGATTGGTGCTGCCAGGAGATATGTCTTATTGTCATGAAATGTCTGAGTTTTTAAAAAATTTTAAAGGTCTTTGAAGTGTTGAAGATTATCTATCTAGGGGAAATATATTTCTTTATCTCTAGAATCCTTAACTAACATGACTACAAGTTTGACTATAATAGGTAACTTATCTCAATCTTTAATTTTTAACTTTACATTTTAAAATGAACTATATGAACATAATACCTTAAACAAGAGGAGAAATACATATCCACAGTTTAACAAATCGGACTTAAATTTGTATCACTAGACCAAGGTCCCCCATCACCCCATACCATGCCTGAAGGAACAGCGTGAAGGCAGGCATCAGCTGACTACATTTGTTCAGAACTGACCTCTGTGAATCACTCTGCCATTATAAAAAGGGAAGCTCACAGCTAAATCTTGGACTTTAAGTATACTTTTATGTGACATATGCTCTGTTCTCCTGACTTCTACTTTTGCAGTAGTAAAATGGTATCGCATTGATTGTAATGTGGACACCAGAATTATATATTACTCAGTTATGATTGTCATTATTCCGAATATTTTTGTTAAGATAAATGCTAAAATGAAAGCACAAGATTGTAAATACTAAGAGGACTCATGGATGGATCCCAAGAGCTAATGTGGCTAGTTGGGAAGCACTGCTGACCATGTCCATGCTAAGTGGTAGGCTGCTGGTTATGGTTATAAAGAGTTTTACCCTGCACTGTTCTGTTGTCTTACCTAGGCTGCCTCAGTTTCTGGAGTGCTGGGATTATAGGCAAGAGCCTCCCTGCTTAGATAACTAAGAGTCTTCTGGGCTGCTGTTTTCTTATTTAAAAATCTCTTTGGTCAGTCAGTCAGGCTTTTAATTCCAGCACTCGGGAGGCAGAGGCAGGTGGATCTCTGTGAGTTCAAGGCCAGCCTGGTCTACAAAACTAGTTCTGGAACAGCCAGGGCTACACAGAGAAACCCTATCTCTAAAGTCTGAACAAGCATACAAAGAAACAAAAATCCCTTTGTTCAGGGCTGAGGATATGGCGGAGCAGTAGAGCATATTCAAGGCCTTGGGTCTGATCCTCAGTATTAAAAACTGAGGAGGCTGGAGAGTTGTTCATCAGTTAAGAACACTTGTTCTTACAGAGGACCCAGGTTTGATACCCAGCACTCACATGGTACTTACACCTGTCATAATTCCAGTTCCAGGGGACCCAGTGCCCTCTTTTGACCTCTCTAGGCACTAGGCACTCACATGGTACACAGACCTGTGAACACTCATACACATAAAGCAAGCAAACAAACAAACAAATAAATAAATTTAAAAAAAATTTCCCTGTTCAGAAAGCCAGTATTCTGATATGCTTAGTGAAAATCAATCAATTTGGGCAGATTTTTTTCTGGTTCTCACTTTCTTATAAAGCAGCATTGCTAAGGTACTTTCTTTGGTTAGTGTTTAAATCTTTGTGTGTGCGTGAGTGCATTCGTGCCTGTGTGTCTTTGTGATTCATTAATAAAGGTAAGTTTAGGGTTCTTGAGTAGTTTTCAGTTCTGAATTAAAGTAGTTCTTTTTATTTTTCTAAATCTTAATAGGATTTTTCCAATTAAAGATGTGCCCTTGGAGACGGATGATCTCGCCAGGTGGCTGTATCAGCGGTTTATTGAGAAGGAGGACCTCTTGTCCCATTTCTACAGAACAGGTGCGTTTTTCTGCTAGACATGTGCTTTAGAGGAGATAAGCATTTCCCAGCTATTATTCTAACTATGTGTAGGTGTGTGTGTGTGTGTGTGTGTGTGTGTGTGCGCACATAAGGTCAGGTGCCAGAGGAGGCCAGAGGCTTCAGAACCTCTGGAGCTAGAGCTAGAGCTACAGATAGGTGAGCCACGTGATGTGGGTGCTGGGAACAGAACTTAGGTCCTCTGAGGAGCAACAGATGCTCTTTTCCTCTGAGCTGTCTCTCCAGCCCCCTTTCAGTTGTTTAGATTAGACAGAATATGGTATACATAATAAATAAATATTTTTTTAAAAAAAGATTAGACATAAAAGTCATTCCGTATGTAAGAATTTCAGCTTAGAATCAATAGAAAGAAAGCTTTGTGTTGATGTATGTAGTTTCTTCCTACATCGGCCCGTGTACAGAGTGATGAGTGTGCCACACAGCCATGTGACTCCAACACTGAGGAGCACAGACAGCTGCAGGACATGCGCTGACCTTGTACTTGAGGTCACTGGAATCTGTTTTTGCATGCTTTTCCTTCCCTTTGAAGGAGACTTTTATTTTATGTGTGGTTTTAGTTCACAGTCAGTCAGAGCAGAAAGTGGCTCAGCAGATGGTCCTTCTCTCACAGGAAGCAGAAGCGTTAGGGCTACAGCTTTTCTTACAAGAAAGGGTGTAGTTTATTGTTTTCAAGGGCACAAAGTCAGTTATTTGCCCTTGGGAGGGAAAAGAATCTATTCTTATCTCTTCTATATTCTCAATACTCTATAGATTCTATAAGAACTACAGTGAATTTGGTTCTGGTAGCACAGGCCTGGGAGATTGAGGCAGGAGTATCCTGAGTTCAAAGCCTTCTTTGGTAACTTCCTGAGACCCTGTCTCTGAATAACAACTAAAACTCGGACTGGAAGTGTGACTCAGTGATAGGGTACTTGCCCGGTATGTGTGTGGCTCTAGATTGAGTCCCCAGCACCAAACACACAACAAAAAGTATAAGGAAAAGACAGGAAAGAAGGAAGAAGGAAGGAAGTTGGAAAGAAGAAAATTAGTGTTGGTTAGCAGAGCAGCCAACGTGCTTTCACAAGCTGCTGTGTTCCCAAAAACAAGAGATGGGGTACAGTGCAGGGCAGGGTTAATTCAAGGCTGAGCAGGCAATTCAGGTGACCAGCGAAGAGGCCTTACCTTCCCACCCTAAGTCTCTTGCCTCCTGATATTGCCTAAGTTGTAGGAACAATGGTGAGCCTCTTTTAAAAAGCCACTTGCATCCCAGCCCTTGAGACTGGAAAATGCCTTTGTGAATTGCTTGTGAGCAGCAAATCCCTTTATGAGCTGGCTTACCCTGAGGATTAGCAGCAAGGACGAAGACTGGGGAGCAAGAGTGGCAGAGGATCTCGGTGACTGTACCAAAGCCATCCAGCTTTCCTTTCCAGAAAAAAACAAATTACATATGTTTTCTTTGTATTTTCTTTCTAATATTATTACAAAGACATATTTTTAAGCATTACTGTATTTTGAGAATATAAGTGTTATATAACCACTTTTGTGGCAAAAAAAAGAGTGCTGTTTCAGAAATTATTAGATATCAATTTTATAGATCCTGTGTCTGACCACTGAGGAAATGTAGCTATTCAGTAAGGAGCAGGGCAAGCTGAGTGCCAGTTCTCACAGACCGGACTCCAGGGGAGGTGGACAGTAGGCAAGCCTACAGAAGGAAAGCAGACAGACACTGGAGAGTGGACGGCAGGGAGCCAAGGCCGGAGGATGCTGCTGACTGCGTCATCCACCCAGTGGGTGGAAGAGTGCTGGGCGAAGCCTAGGTTGTTAAAACTGTGTCTCAGAGGATACTCTGCAAAGTGAGCCTAAGTGTGGGTGAATGCTCAGCTTTCATTCAGGAGATCTGTACTGCCGGGAATCACGTGACCTTCTGTCTTGTCTTCCAGGAGCCTTTCCTCCTCCCCAGGGCCAGAAGGAAGCTGTTTCCAGGGAGATGACCCTCAGCAACACGTGGATATTCCTCATTCAGTGCTTTGCATTTTTGTCAGGCTATCTGTGGTACCACGTCATTCAGTATTTTTACCATTGCCTATTTTAGGAAATGATTTGGACTTGCCACGTAGGAGGAGTTCAGACTTCATACATGTGCTTTATTTTACATGTGCAAATCTAAATATACAAATCAAAATATATAAAAAGCAAAGGAAATTCAAATGGATGGATTAATGTTTATCCCCCTTTGGGATATTTTAAAACTCTACTACAATGAGGAGCAGTAATACAATGAGTGCTAATGTATTTAAGAACTTTTCATGTTTTAAGGAGATACACTCTGCCATATGTTTATGCAAGCATCACACTGGGAGAAGAGGAAATCATAAAATCGTCCTAGAAGACTTGGAAAGAAACTGTTGCCACCAGATGCCCTTGGTCATGCCCCTGTTCAGAAGCTGGGCTCCTCTCTCTTAGGGCGGAGCTTCACAGTGTTAATGTGTCCACCCGTCATGCTGAGGACTAGTCGCCTTCTCTAACAAGCTGCAGTCCTCAATCCTGGCTGAGGAGCAGTGTCCACTGTTCACGGAACCACTGTATCCTGGGAAGGCTAGCTCATCCAGCACCATGCTAACATGTGCTGATGTTCTCCCCTGTCAGGGAAGGGGAGCACCACTTTCTCTTCGGTATAGAAGGCACGTCATCGAGTGATAATTGTAGTTTACAAAATGCACTTTTATCAGATGCAAATATAACAAAGGGTAGTAACATAGCCGGAAACAAAAGGAAGCCTCGTCGTGAGCAGGCTCTCAGGAGACTGTCCTGTCTACGTGCTTGCCCATGATGCACCTCCCCGACCCCACTCCCCTCCCCCAACTTTAACATAGTAGCACCAAATGTATTTGAGGGCAGTTAAAGCAAATTAATGCAAACATTTAAATGACCAGTTTAAGGGAAGTAGACTAGCCTATTAGGAAATAAAACAGAAGCAGACATTGGCTTGCAGTATTGACAGGGCCTCCAGGTGCCCCAGAATCTGTGCAGACATCAGTGTGTTCTGTCATTATGTCAAGCGGCTGCTCTTCTCAGGGTAGCAGGACCAGGAGACAGCAGCTCAGGACACCTCCCAGTCTCTTGCAGTTGTTTTTGAAGAGGGCAGAGTCAGGCAAGTTTCTGTCATTGTGTTCTTGTGATTTACCTCACAGGAGAACCAGGCTTTGCAAAAAGTACAGACACTGCCTCGGTATTGAGGCAGAGGGTTTGGTTTAGGATAATAAAATGTTTAAACCGGAATAAGGCAGCTGGAGTGGCATGAACACTGTAGATTCCCCTATTGGCTAACAGCACAAATAACAATTCTGAGAAATAGGCTGTAAAACAAAAGTAAAGACTAATGTTTTCTGTTTTTCAAATAAACCAAAAAAAAAAAAAATAAAAAGAGGAAAATGTGCAAATTTCCCCACTTTTACGGGAAAGGCTGAACAACAGCAGATAAAAGCCCATAGCACCTCATCTTCAGCAGACCCAGAGCACATGTGGGAGGGAATGACGTGTTAGCTGGTGTACCTCACCCCACCAGACCACACCACTGCTGTGCGGGAGCAGCTGTTCTCAGACAGAGCTGTTTGCTCTGTCTACAGTGACAGTGAGTAGGTGGAGAAAGCTGCTTCACCTGGAAATGATGGGCAGCCAGAGAGAGGCTGCTCAGTGCTTCTATCTGAGGCCCAGGAAAGGCTGGGTGAATCGAATGGAGGCATCAGCCGGCCATCTGGGGGGAAGTTGTTCACTAGCTAGCAGCCTATTTCCTCAGTGCAAAGTAAGCCGCAGACTGCAGTGGGCAGCTCCTAGATGAGTCTGTATATCCATCCATATGTGCAGACAGAATTGTGGCTCTGGCCCCCTGCTACCACTGCTGTGCTCCAGAGGACATGATCTTTGATCATACTGTACATGGGGAACCCGCTCCCTAAGCGGCATCACTTTCAGATGCAGTTTGATTTTCACAGTCTCTAGAGTGACAAATGATAGATTTGTGTAACTTTTGATAATATACCTGAGCTACAAATAGATATGCATTTGATCTGTCCTACACATCTTCAGTTCATTCAGCGTGTCTTCTGTGTGCAAAGAGTATTTCTTCTGTGTTTGAGAGTAATGATAGTAGTTCCTTACCAGGAACTGGAGTCCACCTGCATGAGCAAATTAGGAAATGTGAAGAACAGGTATTCTTCCTAACAGTCGGGGAAACTGCAGTATGCCACTGTAGAGAACAGAATAAATTTCCCATTTGTACTGTGTGTGAAGAAAGGAAGTTAATGTCTCAAGATAGGGGGAAAAGTGAGTAAAGCCACACCAGTTTTCACAGGCACCCTTTAGGGCTGCGGCTCTTTGCCTCCAGCTGGACTGCCTGCAGACGGGCTGGGCAACTCGCTGCTAGAGTCCTTGGACCACAGACAAGACCGAGCAACAGCTCACCTCGCCCAGTTTCAGAAATACATGTGTGACTGAGCAGCCCATAAGCAGTGGAAGCAAAGAAAAGCCAGAATGGGATGAAGCTTGAATAGATGAACTAGTTAGATGAGAATTTAGTAAAGTGTAAAGTGATAGCTGTGGATTCAGATCTGTCATGTATTAGTGTTTGGTATTACAGCTCTTAAATTCCTATAGCAGAGAACTTGGGATTGCTGAATAAGTAGTCAATTACAGGGTAGTTAATTCAGTATTAAGTCATAGGAAGCCAAAAAATAATTTTTTTAGGAATTTCAGACAACCAGCAGGAAGAGAAAGCACCAAAGCCAGCATATATGACCCGTGGGCTGGACAGGCATCTCTGAACAAGACAGAGTTGGTGCAGCTGAAATTGTCCCACCCATGGCGGCCTCTGATGTGGTTGTCTGGATCAGTGTTGGAAATGCCACCTCATTCATGGCCATGTGTGTGGCTCCCTTCTTATTAATTTGTCTTAGTGATGTGTTTTGGCAATCGGTGAACACTGAAGACTCTTATCAACTTGGTCCCGGTTGTAGTCACAGAAAGTAGTCTTTGACCACAGGAGTCTTCTGTGTCCCATTCATGTTTGTTTGCATTACTGAACAGGAGGAGTTAACTAATGTTTTGTGGTTTTTCATCCTTTGCTTTGAAGTCACTGCACAACAGTGAACAGAGAATTTTGCTCCAGAGTTACCATTACAGAAAGTGTATTCAGCTCTGTCCCACACAGGGTGGAAGATAATGGTGTCTTCTATGGGATTTTTGCCCTACGAGTGCTGTGAGCCTTCCAGCTGCAGGCAGGAGAGTCAGAGGAGCTCTGAGTTACAGGTGTGCTAGTTCATGTCGTGATGGGACCAAAACCACCTAAGTTGGAAATTTCTGAAGCAGTCAGTGGTTGGTGCTGTGTGGCAGTCATTTTGTACCAGCCCCCAGTAGTTACCCAGTGGGCTCTGAGAAGAAGCTGCAGGTTCCCAACTGTTGGGGAGGAATGGCATAGTCACATAAGGTGCAGTCTTGGGCTATCTGCAGAAATGCCATCTGAGGAATTTTTACATTTAATATTTTTTTAAAACAGTCTAAAGAGCAAAAAAAAAAAGTATGTATATTATAGTTGCAAAGTATGCAGATGCTTTGAATGACTTTATTTTTATTGTGTAAAACTGTTGAACACGACTGTGGTGCACAAATTCTTTACATGTAAGGAGTCTATGCATTTTACAGTAACATCTTTTGATTGGGTAATGAGACAGTTATACATTCAACTGCCATTGTTTTTATTAAGTGCTTTCACTTCCTTTGCAATTATTACAAAGTTGTATTTATTTTCTACAGACGCATTTTTGTTTTCATAATGCTGTAATGTTTACTTCAGCTTGTTGAACTTCCTTTGTGATCCGCATGTCACAGTGTGTTTTAAGAATGTAAAGGCTGTGGCAACTGCAATTTACTTCTGTAAAGGGCTGGTCACATGTGGATCTGGTTTCTGAATGCATTAGGGATGATTTTACCAGATTACCTTTTCAGAAACTTAGATATTGTGAATACCAAAAGAAGCATTTTCTCAGCAAAAATTAATAGCTGGTTCTATTTTTTTTAATGTAGAGAAAATAAAGTTGATTCTTTTTTTTCCAAAACAATGCTTTTAATTCTTAATAGTGGGGATGGGTATCTGTGCTGTCCCGGAGCTTCACAGTGTGAACCGCTGGCGCTCATGCCTGGAGCTCAGCATTCAGTGGCTGGTGAGAAAACTATCTGCTTCCTTCCAGGACTTAAAAGATTTGCCCTTCCTCAAGTCTTCTCATTTGTTGCGTGATGGTAAATGTTTAGCAGTCCTCTCTCTTGGAGAAAATTATGTATGTAAGTGCACATACATATGTAATAAATTTTGCTTATAACATTTAATGCAATTAGCAAATAATAAAATATAATTGGTTTTTACATTATAATTGTCATTGCTGAACCCTCAGAGCCAACCTGTGACTGAGTATCAACCATGATTTGATTGATAGCGTTATGTCCTGATATCCTAACCATCTCCACATAGACTGTTAATCAATCTAGTGTTTGACTTATTACTAGACTCTTACCCTTGTACAGAGCCTCCTTTTAGCTTCAACATTAATTAGTTTAGATAATTCATTTTTAATTATATTAAAACCCTAAAATTAAATGATAAGAAGCCAGGCGATGGTGCACACCTTTAATGCCGGCACTCAGAAAGCAGAGCAGGCAGATCTCTGAGTTTGAGGCCAGCCTGGTCTACAGCATGAGTTAGTTCCAGGACAGCCAGGGCTACACAGAGAAACCTTGTCTCAAAAAACCAAAACCAGTAAACAATTGATCACCTCTTGGAGGCAAGTCAGAAAGTCAGAGCTACCTTCACCACAATACTGTCGTCTTTCTGTGTTTTGATTTGACTCATTATTAGCATTGGATACAATTCTCAGAATTGATTTACTCATTGCTCCTTGCAGGTTGTGAAGTGTGGGAAAAGCACGGATATGGCCATGGGGAGGCTGACGGCAGGTAGCCTTTCAGGGCGCACTGTGGCCAGCACATGGCCAGCACGCTTCGCCGCTCAGAGCTGAGTAAATGCAGGACAAAACATTGATGGTTTAATTACTTGTTTGTAAAATATGTTTGACCCCGTTGAGAACTTTTAATGTATTAAAATATCTCACACAATCCTACCAAATAAGTTAAGTAGTTAGTATTCAGTCTACCTCTTCTTTTCCTGGCTGGATTTAGGCTGCTGGTAGGGGGAGGCTGCGATTTTATTTCCCCTATGAAGTACTTTATGTGGAGAACAGCAGATTCGGGGCTCTCTGAGATCTGTTGCTGACCAGCCCTACACCCCACAAGGTGGGGGAAAGCCATTGTTTTTAATTCCCACTTAATATGAAAATGTTTGTTTTAGAAAAATGTTTCTTGCTGGTGAAAAATGTATTTTTAAAAGGAAAAACCAAATCCTCTTTTGGTCCGAGGAGTCAGCTGTATGAGCAGGTGTGACCGTGTCATAACATGCTGATGTCATAGAAATCAATAAATTTTTACCTCTCAGGAGTCGGTGACCTTGTTCTTAACTCCTAAAGGCTGGAGAAATAGACTGGAGAGGCCCACAGTTCAGGATGCACAGAAACAGAGATGCGGGGGCGGGGGAGGGGGGCTGGCTGACCACCAGAGAAAGTGGGCCTCTTTCACAGTCAGGAAAACACTGCAGTGGGTATGAAAACCTGCGCACAAGGGAGAAAACGAAGCACTTCTTTTCTGTTGGTAACCAAGGAGCACCATGGTGTCCACACCCTGGAGACACTCTGGGGATGGAGACAGGCGCTTGTTTGGCTGAAGCAGGAAAATTAACTGCATGTGTGACTGTGTGCCGTCTTCACGCTTGGTGGCCCCTGAGGCCACAGGAGGCATCTGGTCCCCTGGGACTGGAGTTACAGACAATTGTAAGTTGTTCTCTGGAAGAGAAGCAAGAACTCTTAACCACTGAGCCATCTTTCCAGCCCCGCTTGGGCTTGGTGTTAGTGAGAAAATGTGGAGCTGAGTAAGAGGCCCTAAAGATCCCAGTTACGGTTTGTGTTCCTCTATTTCACTTTGGGTCCCAAAACGACCAAGTCTAACCTGCAGTTTTCTGTCAGTTGATACTGTATTGGGACCAGCTGGTGGCCAGTTGAGGGTGAAGGAAATAGGTACCCAAAAGTGGAATGATCAGAACTGGAGTGCTGAGAAGAGGAACCCAAAATATTGAGTGATAAAGGGCAGGTCGGATGCTGCTGTCCACAGCAGGTGTGCATACTCCAGATAACAGACTCTGCCAGGAAGGTTCCGTATCTCCTGTCCTAAAGACTGCCTGTCATTCATGTATACCTCTCATTCAGGTGACTGTCCCCTGAACAGGAGAAAGACATACCTAAGTCATTAGGAATCTCCATCAGGGGGCCCAACTAAGGGACACTTGGCAATGCTGATGACTCAAGCCCTTCGTTTAACCGCGGCCCCTAAATCCACAGTAAAGCCTTTTGTTTACCCTGGTGTGTGTATGTTCCAGTAGGGACGAAGGATGGCACCAGTATTTGGGCTGGTCTTGGATACCTTGACTTCTGATGTGGGACAATGGGCAGTGGCAACTCAGGGCTTCCAAAAGCACAAGTAGAAGCCAACAAGACCTTGTAGAATACAACCCAAGAACAGCGTCACTTTCTTAATATTTATTTACCTTTTAATTCATTTTACATTCCAACCAAGGTTCTCCCTCCCACCTGCCCTCGCCTCCCCAACCCAGCCCCCCCCCAATCCACTCCTCCCAACAGGTCAGGGCTCCCATGGGGAATCGACACAGCTTGGCACACTAATTTGGGGCAGGACCAAGCCCCTCCCTTTTGCATTAAGTCTTAGCATGCCACCCCCTCAGAGGGAATGTGTTCTAACAAGCCAGCTCCTGTACCAGGGTAGATCCTGGTCCTACTGCCAGGGGCCCCTCAGATAGCCCAAGCTTCACAACTAACTCCCACATACAGAGGGGCCTAGTTCAGATGCCTGGGGCTCTCAGCTGTCTGTCCAGAGATTGTGAGTTTTCATGAGGTTGGTTCAACTGTCTCTGTAGAATTCTCCATCATGATCTTCATCTCCCCTGCCCACACATTCCCTCCCCCTCTCTCTCTGACTAGACTGGTGCTTAGTTGTGGATCTTTACATCTGATTCCCTCAGTTACTGGAGCTGTGGATTGTAGTCTGGTTTTCCTTTGCTTTGTTCTATATCTTCTATCCACTTATGAGTAATCCTAGCTACTCAGAGTGACTGAAGCTAGGTGGAAGGTTCAAGGCTGGACTGGGTGTGTGCGGACTTGGAGACCAATGTAGGCTAACGTGAGTCTCTAAAGAGATTTTGTTGGCGAGCTGTCTGAATGGTTTGTGGAACTGATGTGCACACAGGTCATTGACCTTTGAGGTTTTAGAGTGAGTGGGAACTGGCATTTCCTTCTTTGGGGACAGTGGGTTTCCTTGTGTAATTCAACCCGTTGCCAGTGGAGTCGGGCAGCCGCTTAGAGAACTGAGGGCCTAATAATCTCTCAGTCTCCAAATCAGAAGATGGCTTCGTGGGTGTCTAAAAAATGTCATAACTGGAGAGGGGCTCAGTAGGTAAGAAAGAGGACCCGAGCCGGGCGATGGTGGCGCACGCCTTTAATCCCAGCACTCGGGAGGCAGAGGCAGGCGGATCTCTGTGAGTTCGAGACCAGCCTGGTCTACAGAGCTAGTTCCAGGACAGTCTCCAAAGCCACAGAGAAACCCTGTCTCGAAAAAAAAAAAAAAAAAAAGAAGACCCGAGTTCAATTCCCAGCACCTGCGTTGGGCAGCTCACGACTGCTTGTATCTCAGGACAGGGGTTTACTCTTCTGAACCCAGCAGCACACACATGCCAACATGATTTTAAATAGTCTCTTTTATACAGAATGCTGAGGATTAAGTATCCGTGTTGAAAGGATTTCAAAGCTCTACAGTTTCAGTTCCTCAGGCTGAAGTAAACATGATAGCCCCGAGCTATCAATCCTTCAGACTGATCTCTTAGAATGTCCCCTGAGGTTTGGCAGAGACCATTAACCAGTAAAAAAAAAGTTGGAAGTCTGTGGCTTTATCTTTGTCCAGGTGGAGGTGACGTGTTTTGCTCTGTTTGGTGGGAAAGGGAGAGAATGCCTTCATTTCAAGCTGAAGGGAAGAGACTCCAATCCCATAATACTTCTGTCGTGAATTCTAGGTCTGAAACCTGAAGAGAGCAGCTAGCAGCACCTGGTGTCATGTGTTCATCCATCACAGTCAGGGCCCACAGAGAGAGAGGACCAGGATCTGAGGCCCTACCCTGGAGTTGAACCCCAACTCTGGCCATTGACAAATATTTTTTGTAGTAAGGAGGGGGCCGCTTGTTGGTTCCCGGCTGCTTAGCCCCGAAATAACCACACAGAAACTATATTAATTAAATCACGGCTTGGCCCATTAGTTCTAGCTTCTTATTGGCTAACCCTTACATATTAATTTAACCCATTTCTAGTGGTTTACCAGCTAAAGTTCCCAGCGGCTATCTCCTATGTATCCGTGGGTTCTCTCTGACTCTGCCCTTTTTCCTCCCAGCATTCAGCTTAGTTTTCCCTGCCTACCTAACTTCTGCCCTGCTATAGGTGGACCACNTTTTGGAGCCTGTCCTGGGACTAGCTCTTGTAGACCTGGCTGGTCTCGAACTCACAGAGATCCGCCTGCCTCTGCCTCCCGAGTGCTGGGATTAAAGGCGTGCGCCACCACCTCCCGGCCTAGCAGTTTCTTTATCTGTTAATGGTAATCATAGCATACAGAGGTAAATCCCACATCATCTTTTTTTTGAACTTCACTCCTTGTGTGTCAAATAGGAAACTCAAGGAACGATTTTCACATATTAAATGAGACATTGTACATACAGCACAGAAAATGGGTGTGCTTTGTACTGAAGGAGTGCTCGGCCCCAGTTAGGCCCAGCAGAGGATGTGAAGACTTTCTGGCCTAGCTCTACCTTCACTCCAGATGTCCCATCTTGTTGACAAAGGCTAACAGTTATGGATGCCCACCAGCATAGACAGACTTAATGAACATAGCCATACAGCTGGCCCCACATAGACTATCCAGTGCCTCAGACAGCAGCATGAAAGAGCTTTGAGGTTGGAGAAGCAATTAGGAAGGGCGGGGAGACTGGGGCTTAAGGAGGAAACCAGATCTGCCAGACAGAAGACATTACACACTCTTCATAGAGACCTATTTCTGCTTCTGAGACATGATGTCACCTGTGATGTGGACCTTGAACTAATCAGAAGGGAGAGAGATATAATTTCTGGTATTTGAAAGTTGTCCTCTGGCTCTTAGGATAGCAAGCACGGCATCAAAGGCCCCTGAAGCTTCAGGTAGGAAAGCACAGTCCTGCCCTAATCTGTCCAGTTCCACCAGTCCCTGAGCTTGCCTTGAAATCTGACACTTTGCACTACTAAGTGCTGTTCTGGGTGCTCAATTCTGAAGAACCGGTTACCACAGTAGGCAGAAGTTTCTGTGTTTGTTTCCTTGGGCAATTGTGGAGGGAACCTCTGGGACCCTGCTTGGCTCTTCCATCTTTAAACAATGTCACACACATGTGAAGAACCCATTTTGGCTCCTACCATCTTAGGACATCTGAGGAAAAGGCACTCCACTACCCACAGCTTGGGGAGTGGGGGACAGCTGAGCACCAGGAAGCAGAACTGGCTTCTCTTGTGCCCAGCGAAGGTTTCTAGATGAGGTGAGAACCCAGGGTGGCTACGGAGAGAAGGCTGCTCCGGCAGGTTCACTGGTTCTCTTTGAGAATGCCCACCACACTGCAGAGAGGAGGGGACACAGGACCAGCATTCGAGTGGAGTCGTGGGAACAGGCACTCCCTTGTCACTGGATGATGTCACACAGAGGCGGGCACTTTGGTGCCAGGGTGAGCATGGGTGGGAAACTCCAGCTGGGGAGGGTGGGCAGAACTGGTCCTATTCCCTGTCCCTCCCCTCCCCCTCCCCCGAGTGCCCTTGTCACAGGGAGCCAGATCAAAGCCTCCACTGTGAGGGCTTTTCTGTTGTTCTCAGGGGAGCGAGGAGCAGTGAGCTCAGCGAGTCCTTGCTCTCCAGCTTTCCCCACCAGGAGCAGCCGTCATTGGTGTGACCCAGCGACGTAAAATTGCTGAGGTCCTGATTCAAAGCATTAAGAATTATGACAATGTTCAGAACACCAAAGCAAAGGGAGGTCACACTCTCAAAATGTCAGCCCTTGGAGTACCAGCACCCAGGGTCCCACCCCTAACCCAGAAGCAATTTGCAACTGATATCTTCTAGCAAAGGGAAAATCAGCTTTCTCCAATGGAGTGTCGGAGTATTGCAACCACACTCCAGGGCAGACCCCATGCTCCCAAGCAGCTGGCCAACACAAAACAGTGAGAACATGAAGTCAGGTAGTAGGGGTAGGGGGATGGAGAGGATCTGCGGAGAGTTGGGAGAGAAGAAAACATAATTGAAATATATTGTATAAAA